GGGGGGGGGGGGGGGGGTGTCACCCTCCCCATCTCCCCTCCCCCTACTGCTGTATGCTTACAGAAGCTGACTGCATACTCCAAAGCTTCAAGCTGGGTGGATATATGTGTGAGATGGGTATTCAGCCGACTCCTCTCTATACACCATATGGCTGATTAACTTGTACTGTGTCTGCATGAAACCAAGCATCTCCTTTACACACCAACTATAAATAGATGTGGCAAGGGGGCAGAAAGAGGCCTCTACTGGGGGCACACACCCTGCCCCTTACAAAACCTGTTCACGGAATGGTTGAAGGAACACTTCCAGAGCACAGGATCACTTTAATTTTCTGCCTGGGCACATGTGACTCCATCGCAGATTGATCATCAGTGGCCTACCTCATTAACAACACAGACAGGTCAATGGCATATCTTGAATAACAAGCATAAAAGAAAAAAAAACACACAGTCTGTACCCAGTACCTAATTCCTGCATGCCCAACGCTAGTACTCTGCTCTAGTGTTGACCCTCTAACAATTGCTTCTGCAGGTACACAGAGACTACTGGGTGACTGGAAGGGGGACTCTAACAGCAACAAAAACCAGACAGAAGTCATATCCCTTCCACATCCCATTCAAAATAAAAAATAAAACTTTTTCCTTTTAAGGGGACATTAAAAATACCCATCTGGTTCTAATGTAAAAGGGGTGCAACACATGGTAAAACGTGGAAAATGACTGCGTTTCTATACGTAGCTCTATATCTGAAGCTTTGTGTATATGTGTGTAATAAAATGAGTCACTAAATGAGCGAGTTACTTTTTAACATTAGAAGAGAAAACTGGTTACACTACAGGCAATATATACATTTAATGTCAGTCCCGTGTGTCCAGTGAGTTCTGAATCTCTCTTCCCTTAATTTCCTCTTCAGTAAAAGCAGACACAGGACTGACAGGTAAACACACAGTGGTGATCCTGATTTCCAGCATCGCTTACAATTACAGGGCTCTTTCCGCCTTTATTCAGAGCGAAGACAAGTGCTTCGCAAGTCAGACCCGCACGGAGAAATAATATATCTGCAAGTGGGTCCTGATTTCTAACTTTCCTATGTAGAAGGGTGAAGTATTAAAAGTACCACTGTCAGCATCGGGCAGGCACTGTGGTAAATCCTACACTCATTTGTCTGGTACAAAAGTGGGCAGATTTCTTCCTATTAAAGTGACTTGATTTAGAGTCACTACTGAGGAAAGCTCTTACATTCCCCATACTGCACTGCCCCAGTGGAAGGCCCTGAAACTTCCTATGCAAGTTGAACATTTCTCAAAGTCAAATTTGAACCAAGCCAAGCAAGCCTGCCCTCTCCTGCCCCCATTGGAACATGCTCAGGCCTAGTGAGTGGTTGCTAATGTGCCAGGTATCAAAGTGTGGTAAGCAAGAGGAACATGCGTTCCCCCATACCCTGAATTATAAGCTTTTTTTCTGAGGTTCTAGCAGTGAATTGGGTACTATGAGTGAGACACCTAATAGTAAGTGCTACTAAACTGTAGCATGACTTTTAATTGTGACTTAGTACAGAGTTGATTCAATGTTCAAGGATGTGCCAAACATGCACAGGCATTAGAAGTGCTTTTTTTTTTTGTACGTATTTATGCCTATGGACCTGCAAAATGCACGTTGTGGTATTAAAATGATGACCCCACTATTTTGTTGACAAAAGTTTCTACGGAGCACACTAAAAAGAACAGGCTCCGCAATTGCAGTGCAGTTTCTGTGCATCATAAATTGTTCCACAGAAGAACCAATAACTAGGTGTATAAGGAAGAAAGTAACCTGCCAAGGTCATAAAGAGACAACACTCGGATTTGAGGCGCAACTCAGAATCAAGATAAAATTCCCTTGTAAACATACCTAGTATCTGGGCGAACAGCCGATATTGCTGTACTAAACCTAAAACCCTCTCACCGTATACGCGTGCTGCACGGATTGGCCTCTGCTCCTAAAATTTACAAAGACAAATTCTGGAGAAGACCAAGCAGCCTCAGATATTCATTAGGCAGATACTGTACAGGGAATATCTGTCCCTCTATTAGACCAGAATACAATTACTCTTATTACCAACTAACCAACAGTATGATGGGTTCCTATAAACATGAATAGTGACTATCGTGCCTAAGACACCTGCTGTCACCTTTAATATTGAGAAATCCTCTCGTTTCCCTCTCCGATTTAGTTTCACCTTGTTACTTTGGACTGATTTTCCCTGATTTGGTAAAGGGAATCTGTCATGAAGGAATAATGGAGGCTGCCATTTCTGAACTCTCTTTTTGAGAAGACTAGTTCTCTGGCTGTCAGGCTTTGATCTCAATGAGTCACTGAGCCACAAGTCTAGTATAGAGAAGGAATTCTGACACTTCCTAACACTCATTTACAGCACGCTAGAATCAGGCCTGTGACTAGTCAGACAAAGCCAGGCAACTAGCATTTGAAGGCAGCCAGTACTCGCTGCCACCATTCTTCTCTAATGA